AAGCTGATGGAAGTGTTGAGAGGTACAAAGTCAGATTGGCAACTAAAGGCTTTACCCAAACTTATGGGATTGATTACCAGGAAACCTTTTCTCCTGTTGCTAAAATAAACTCTATCAGAGTTCTTTTGTCTCTTGCAGTGAATTTTGATTGGCCTCTACATCAACTTAATGTCAAGATTGCTTTTCTCAATGGTGACCTTGAAGAGGAGGTGTTCATGAGTCTACCACTGAGATTGAGAAGAAACTTGGGAGTAATAAAGTCTATAGATTGAAGAAGTCCTTGTATGGACTTAAACAGTCACCAAGAGCGTGGTTTGAACGCTTTGGAAAGGCTGTTACTAGTTATGGTTTCCTTCAGAGTCAGACGGATCACACTATTTTTTATAAACATTCAAAATTTGGTAAAGTTGCAATTTTGATTTTCTATGTTGATAATATTATCCTAACTGAAAATGATGAAACAGAACTAGATGCACTCAAAAGGAGACTTGCTAAGGAGTTCCAAATCAAAGACTTGGGAAAGTTAAGATACTTTCTTAGAATGGAGTTTGCAAGATCCAAAGAAGGTATTTTTGTTAATAAGAGGAAATGTGTGCTTAATCTACTTGGAGAAATAGGCCTATTCAGTTGTAGGGTTGCTGAAACTCCTATTGAGCCTAATTTGAAGTTGCAAGCTGCCAAGGCGGAAGAAGTGAAGGATAGGGAACAATATCAGAGAGTTGTAGGCAGGTTAATCTACTTATCTCATACACGCCCTAATATTGCCGTTGCAATTAGTATGGTTAGTCAGTTCATGCACTCACCAAAACCAGAGCATTTCGAAGCTGTCTATAGGATCCTGAGATATCTGAAAGGAACTCCAGGGAGAGGCCTACTGTTCAAGAAACATGGGCACCTACAAATTTAAGTCTATACTAATGCAGACTGGGCAGGAAGTGTTACAGATAAAAGATCCACTTTGGGTTATTATTCCTTTGTTGGAGGAACTTAGTTACTTGGCAGAGCAAAGAACAAAATGTGGTGGCCAGAAATAGTACAGATGCAGAATTCAAAGCTGTTGCCCATGGAATTTGTGAGGTGATGTGGACCAAAAAGATACTTGAGGAGCTAAAGTTTTCTCATTCGGCACCTATAAAAGTCTATTGTGACAACAAGGCTGCTATATCTATTGTTCATAATCCAGTTCTACATAATCGAAGAAAACACATAGAGGTGGATAAACATCTCATTAAGGAGAAGCTAGATGCTACAGTGATATGCATGCCGTGTCTTCCAACAACAAAACAGGTTGCTGATGTGTTAACTGAGGAACTACACAAGAAGCAGTTTGATAAATTGATTGTCAAGCTGACTATAGAAGACATCTTCAAACCAGCTTGAGGGGGAGTGTCGAAAATCAGTCAATTAAAGACTCTACCGTGATCCTAGAGATATGCTAGGTTGTCTAGTGTAAATATAGATAGTCAATGATGTAAATTAGGAAATAGGTAGCTGTCAATATTCTTTGTTTCTTGTTTCCTGTTTTGTTTCTTTCTTTCCCTTTTTAGTGTGGCTCCTTCGGTCCTTATAAGGAACCTTGTACCCATTCATTGTGTAAGAGAGAATTATTTTCTCCATTCATTCTAAGTCATAGACTCTTACTCTGTTGATGAAATGGGTTAGGTTTACTGGCCCAAGCATGAAGACATTGGTAGAATATTGAAAGTGGAGTGTACTCCCATACTGGGAGAAGTGGAGTACCCTCCTATATTTGCCATATCTTCGCCAATTTCACGAGGTAATTTCTGACGGCTTCTTTGATGAGGAATAGCTGTTTTGACGTTTAGCACCAAAAAAAAAAAAAAAATAGAACTCTTTTATGTTTATTTTTATTCAGTTTTTGTATTAGAGTTTCTTTCTTATAATATTTTTATCAGTTTCATTTTCTGCGAAGTAATATTGTGTTATATCCCAAATACATATTTCTTGCAATCTTGCTTCTTAAGATAGTTCCCATGTGGGGAACGGAACCTGAACTGTGCCGTCATTTGATGCAACTTTTTCTTCTCAGAAAGGAAGTGGAATTCCAAAGGTTGTGACCCTTGATGTTCACGGGGAGCTAGTGGAAGCAAACATTATAAAGGGCCATGCTGTGGTTGCATGGTGTGGAGGGACTCCAGGGAAAGGTGTTGCCAGGTGAGTTTGCATCTTACGTGTACGGTTACATATTCTGGAAGTATCTTCAGATGGCTAATTTAAATTCGCGCAGAAAGTGATAATCAGTGCTAAAAATTGCATATGCATTTTTCATATATTTATGTGCCTTACGTTTGTATGCCTGTGTTGTTATAATATATCCGGTTACGTTTTTCATTTTACTCCTACATGAAAATAACATTCTCACTTTGCTTTGTGTTTAGTTGGTTGAGGAGAAAATGGAACAGCAGTGCCGTTGTAATTGCTGGAGCTGCAGATGAGGAGTATTTGTTCACCATAGATGACATTGATTCTAGTTTGGTTTTTATGTACACACCAGTGACAGCAGGCCTAGTCGTTTCTCCAATCAAATGACCGAGCTTCCCTCCGTCATCAATCGCCAATTTTACTGATTGAGCCCATTCCAAATAATTTTGGCCATTCAGTCTACATTGGAAGGACATATTCGAACCAAAGACACTTTCACCACTGCTAGTCGCTCCTCCGCTGATGGTTGCTTCTCCTCCGCTGGTTGCTGGCGCTGTACCACGTGATTGTGCATCCTCTGCTGTAGTACCACTTGAACCGGTCATTGCCCGCCTATAGTCCATCTAGGGCAAAATTGAAGAAGAATTTCTGGGGTTTTTTAGTAAGAGCCGTGTCTCTGATACCATATAGGCTTTTAGAGAAGAGAAAAGAAACTTCTTATTTCTCATTCATAATAACTTCATACATACCAACCTCCTTATATAGGTGAGCCAGAAGATAACAAATAAAGGGAAATAAAACAAATAAGGAAACAAATCAAAAAAGAAGGAAACTGCCTAAACACTATCTCATGACTTTAGAGAAATTATTCTGAATCGGTTAACAATTCGCCTACATAATTACTCTATATTCGACCACATACAACAATAGGACAACCAATCATTCCTAATTTACCGACAACAACGATATAATTGGCGTGCTCACAATCTTTCACTTGTTCTGATTTTCTTCAAATCTTAGTACTTCAAAACACTTTGAGCTCATTTAGAGGTCTAATTCGTTTTTTTTTTTTTTCCAATGTTAATATTATTTTTCTGTTTCTTGTCAAAAGAATTTAATCAAGGCCAATTTCATTTGTTTCCCTCCCTTCCCCTTGCTACAGCGGATCCTCTCGGAATGGAGCTTGTAATATCTGATGCATCTGAAGACGTTCTTGTATGCAGTAAAACACTGTAAATTCTCATATATTGTTACATATTATGGATATTTCAATTTTATTCTATATCTATTCCTATCTCTTTATATATATATATATATATATATATATATAACTTTTGTTAGCTTTTCGTTTTCTTTTCTTCTTTTTCCTCGCTTACCTTTTTTATTTCATCTTTTAATCTTTTATTTTATTATATATTTTTAAATATATCTCATTTAAATACTTTTCTTACAATTATTTTAAATATTTTTTTCTATTTATCCTGCTAAATTAATTTATTCTCAAATGTGTTCCTAATAAACATATTTTGCATGCGATTCTTTTAAATTTCAGCTTCAGTTGTGAAACATTTTGCACAAAAGTTTTTTCTTAAGTTTTTACTGTTTTTTTTCTCCCTATCTTTTGCTTCAGATCTTTTTTTCCACTTTTATCTTTATTTCTTCCTCTCTTTTTTCTTCCCCCTTTTTTCTTTGAACCGTTGTTTCAAATTAGTCACGTGCTCGAGGAGTGCGTTTTTGACTAGTTTAAAATGAATGCTTAACTAATATGCAAATGTGGCAGAACATCTACACCATCACTTGAAGATGTCGGGGCTTATTTGGCTTTATATTGGTTGCCCACTCGTTCTGATGGCTCATGTGGAAAGCCATTAGTTGCAATTATCAACTCTCCAATTGCGGCAGGTATAATGAAGTAGAAATCTTGTGTTATACTGAGAACATTAATTCTATTGGTAGTTGGTACTGTAAGGACATACCACTGGAACTGCCTTATAACGATTGTGATCAATAGTTACTTTCTTGCATGCATTTGTGATTTTTTTCCTTTTAAGCAATTGATAAGGTTGTAGTCATTGATTGGACAGACACCACCTCTTTTCTATAATTTTTTGGTTGGCATTTATATACCCATCATTATGCGTTCATTTTCTCTTTATATCAGTTTATTTGCCCAAAGTCATTCCAAGGCATTTCCTGTATGTTTTTTAATCTTGTTCAACACTTTAGTCTTTGAACATTGTTTAGCAACTGAAATTATACTGTAACAATGTCGCAGCTCTCCCTGTAGTTTCTACTTTTTGTCTTGAGTTTTTATCGTCTTTTTGTCTGAAATTTTAAGATTAAAATAATTTAAAAATAACAATATTATAATAAATAAATGAAAAAAGTTAATACATCAAGTAATAGCAATTTAATGTCAAGATTTGGCATGCAGACCAATATTTGATGCCAAATTTAACACAAGCATAATACATGCTAATTTAAGCCTACAAAAGAGCATCGCATTGGAGAGTAATTTTACTCAAATGATAGGATATGACATTTGCACACTATAATTTGACACTATAAGAGATGTCCTTTTTATCAATGGATCACCATTCTACAGACTAAGCTAAAAGAGAAACTTAAAGTTAGCTCGAGAATCACAGTTGCAATGATCCTCACACCATTCTAGTTATTTGAAAACCCGTAATGAAAGACTGATTTCATATTGGAACACAGGCAGGCAGTTCATTCAAACAATGTTCCACCACAAGTGAGGCCATTACTATTCACTAGTTATTAGAGGATGTGATAATAATTATTACCCGTTGTCATTCAATTAACTGTTCAAAGAATTTTGATACAAAACTAGTTGAGCTGTTATTCAATTGATTAAACTAGGTCTCCCATGTACATTTTGCACCAAAAACGCAATGTTTCCTTTAATGAACTCAGCAGGTACCAAATTGTTCTCAAAAGGAAAAAGTAGCGATGGAATAAAATAAAAAATTTTACAACAATAGAAAATAGTATTCTAAATTCCAAGCCGACAAATTTGATTTTTCTTGATGAGACTAAGATCGACCTGCATATTTCAGAAACGAACAAAACTCAACTCACATAAAGGATAAGTCGATAATCTAGATCTAGATACCGAAAATGGTAAAATCGTTTACCTTGGGTCCAAAGAGATCCCGAATGTTATCGATCCCATACAGAATCATGGTAGGCCTAGTTAAGAGATTGACACGAGAGATAAAATCAGTATCATTCCAACATTGCTTGCACAATAATATACGATAGAGTTTGATGGTTAAGAAGACGAAAGTGGCCATTACATTTGCACATTTTATGATAATGGTTTAAGTATATAATCTTTTACCTTTCAAGGGAAAGACCCCATGCAATAACACGAACATCTTCTGGGAGTCCCATGGGAAGCAACATCTCAGGTCTAAACATGCCAGAATTCCCAACCTCTACCCACTTCTTAAAACCTTCATGATAACTGGTAAAAAAGAGAGGATAATTGTGTCAAACTTGATTTCAAATGCCGAAAAGCTGTGCCAGAGATTTCACAATTTATCAATCACCTGAAAATCTCCATGCTGGGTTCAGTATATGGATTATAAGCAGGTTTGAACCGCAGCTTCGACATACCTGAGAAAAGTGAGATGGTAAAGAAAAATCAGGGTTATTGTTAAATGCTTAAACCGCAAACGGAAAATTATTGAAAAAGGAGTTTCAGTATTTTACCCAGACGGGAGAAGAAATCATGCAAGACTCCTATCAAGTCACCAAGCGTAAGCCCTCGATCACATACCAAACCTAAAACCAGAAACAGGAGTACAGACACGTGTGTGTGATATTTCTTATAAAAAGCAACTAACCACAGTTCTAGTCAGTCATTAGGGGGAAGATATTAACCCAGAAACAGCTGAAACTCAAACCAACCGGTAAGCCAAGAAAACCTAAGCATCGTCTTCTTTACCCATATTTAATAGAAACAATGTAATCTATCAATTCAGATTCATAATAAATCAGTTACCACGTCATGCTAAACCTAGCTGGGACAAAATCAATTATCAGTGCTAAACCTAGCTGGGACTCGGAAGAGGAATTTTGTGAAGCAAAAAATTTCTGCCATGTAACATAAGTAATTATCCGACATTGACCCAACTAGGGCCGGCAATATGGGTCACGACACGACGACACGATTTGAAAACGACACGAATTTTGCGAGTTAGGGTTGAGAAAAAAGGGGTTCGGGTCAGAATCGGGTCGACCTGAAATCGACACGAAAAACACGGGTCAATTTCGGGTTGGACCCGCCTAACCCGAACACGACACGAAACTCGTAAAAAACTAAAAAATACATATGTTTTTCATTTCATATTTTAAATTTTATTATGAACTTGTGATATCATGATAGTTAAACTCAAAATCTTATACTATTATTGCTTAATTTCAATGGATGCTATTGTAATTTAATGTGTTATGAATTTTAAGTTATTTCTAATATGTAAAAAATAAAATAAAAGTATACAATTTTCGTGCCAATTTCGGATTCACGGGTCAATTTCGTCTCACGGGTCATTTTCGGGTCGTGTCGTGTTCGTGTTGCGGTTTTTAAAAAATTTGGTTTCACGGGTCGTGTTCGGGTTGACTGCAAATTTAAAAAAAACAATCAAAACACGACACGAATACGACACGTGACACGAATTGCCACCCCTAGACCCAACCCAACCAAAAATGGGTGGGCACGACACAGAGACAGGGTTAAAAGGCGGGTATCCTGGGAACAGCTAGCTATGTATAAAAAAGAATAATAAAAAGATAATTAAAATAAAACCCCACACACACAGGGTGGTTATCACCAATAATAAGAAATCAGGATCAGGCTTCTTCACTTGTCTGAATTCCCTGACTCAGAAAACAGGTTTATAAAACAAAAGAAACCCAACGTGAACAGCATCGCAGAGAAAGTGAATGCCCATGGAGACCCTAGCAGCCAATATTTACAATCTCATAATACCTTCTATCTGGTGGAACTCCGCAAGATGAGTCCGATCTACTGCTTCATTTCTGAAAACACGGTCTATAGAGAAGTACTTCTTGGGAACAAATGGTTTCTGTAGACCATGTCAAGAAAAGAAAGCTAATTACAAAGACATGAAAAATGCTTGGTCGTGTGCTTATATTACAAGCCAGAAACAAGAGTCAACTGAATATCTACTATACTGATAATGCAGTCGAGACAACTAAAGGGGGTTCATAGCATGTGATTTAAATATAGGATCATAGGAACTTTTACAGGAAAAACACACACACCCATTGATTTTTACTCAGAAATACGATGCCATATTTTTGCAAGTACAAAAACCAGGACTGCAAAAACAAAGCGGCGAAGACAACAAATTTGTTTGAAGAATATCTGCTTGGCAGGGAGTAAACGCTTAAAAGGAAAAAGAAAAATTAAAATTAAGATTAAAATTATAACATGCTAAAGTAAAGGAATTTCCTTCTTTAGCAAAATACCTGTGCCAGCAGATAAAGCATCCTGGAGGAAACAGCAGTAGTATGAGTTCGCAAAAGGTTTTTGTTTGCTTCATCTCTTTTCCAATCGTATCCATATCTGCCACAGGGAGAAGATCAACAATTAGTTCTGTATGCTGTGCTTTTGAGTATTAATAATTGAAATAAGATCTAAATACAACATCATACCCCCTAGAATCATAACCACCAGACTCGTGAACACGCTTCACCCGCTCAACATAATCTTCAGGCAGTTCCTTTGTAGTTGAAGGAGCTAAAGATTTTATGCCAAATGACCATCAGAAGGGAAACCAGAGTAACAGATTTCAAATTTGAAAATTAAGTAAATAAACCTTGCAAGAAGAACGTATCGTGTGAATCGCGTGCGGGGTGTTGTTGTGGTTGGAAAAGCGCATCAAAATTCCAGAAGCTGAAAGTGAAACAGCAACAAATAAACAATTGTCCTCAAAAAAAGAAAAGAAAAGAAACAGATAAGCATTTGAGAGCACTATTTGCAATTACTTTATATGATATTTCTGTTTTAATTTTTATATTTTAAAAAGTATGCAAATAAGCATAAAGCAGAAAAAATTTTCTCAATAGAGGGGGGAAAAAAGCGAAACTAGAAGTTATTTATCTCCACTAAACATTGTTCTGTCAAACATTCTGATAAGCCTCCTTTGCGTTTACCTATGTGCGGAGGAGAGTTCGTGAGAAAAATGTGGCAGGAGCAGGGGAAGGCAGTGGAGATGCAAATCAGGGAGGTAATTCTTAGAAGAGTGATGAGCTGGCAAGTCAAGGGGGAGGTTGTGGTGCAGATAACTAGTAGTTAGTCAGTTAGGCTGTGGTTGTTAAGGGGGAGTTAGTTAGTAGGAAGAGGAATAGTATAAATAGTCTAGAAAAGGCATGAGAAGGATTCATTCGATCATTCTCAGAACTTCTGAGACAAGTTTGGTTAAGGAGTGCAAGGGGTCACTCGAACACCCCCATATCCAAACCTGTGATTCTGTAATTTCCGCCATTAATAACAGTGATCACGCTTGTGATTTGGCTTGCTTGTGCATAAATCTCGCATTGTCTTACTCTAAACTGTTCTTTATTTTCTTTACGAGCTTATCAATTGGTATCAGAGCACTTTCCCGAGATGACGAGGAGAATTGACGACCGTGAAAAGGAGAGAACGGAGGGAAATAAGGAAGATTTGTTGAAGGAGATGGAATCCTTGCGTGAGGATGTTGGGAAAATACCTCGATTAGAGCAAGGGCTTGAGTTGTTGTTGACAAAGATGGACGTGTTGCTGAAGTAGCAGAGTTCCGCAAATCGGGAGTCGCCGGAGGCGGAAAACGGGATTCCGGCAGAACAGTCGGCACCGACGGCGGGAACGGGGGAGAGACCGGCGGAATCGCGAGAGGGAGGGGCTCGCGCAGAATTTTGGACTCGAAGGGTAGAGATGCCGGTTTTTGATGATGAAAATCCATATGGATGGATTTTTAGGGCAGAAAGATATTTCACCATGAATAGGCTATCAGAGATGGAGAAATTGGATGTGGCGGTGGTGAGCCTTGAAGGAGAAGCCATAGCCTGGTTCCAGTGGGAAGATCGACGGCGGGCGATCCGAGATTGGGCGGAGATGAAACAGATGGTATTAGAACGTTTCCGGTCGACGCAAGAGGGGACTCTTTGTGAGAAGTTCTTATGAGACGACAGTGAGGGAGTACCACCAGCAATTCAAGACTTTGGCCGCACCATTAACGAAGATTTCTGAGCAAGTTTTGGAGAGCGCGTTCGTGAATCGATTGAAGCTGGAGGTGAGAGCTGAGATTCGCATGCTGAAACCCGTGGATTGGGCTGCATTATGGAGCTTGCCCAACGGGTGGAGGAGCATAACCAATTGGTTCGGGGGCCCAAGGCCCAAATGGCTCCAGTAAGTTCGTGGAATAAGGGAGGCCATGCTCCGTCTGGGTTTGGGTTAAGGAATAGTCAAACATTTGGCGGTGGGCCAAAGCTAACAAACCCAACAATTGCCACTGGACGTTCTTCTGTGGCAGCTGATAAACCGAAGGACACTTTGAGCAGGGCGGCGCCGTTCTGGAGACCACCGACGCAGAGCTTCAGGCGAAGAGAGAGAAAGGATTGTGCTATCGTTGTGCCCGTTGCCCGAACCGTGAAGAGGAGGATTGTGCAGGGGAGAAGGATGACGGTGCAGAATCCGAGGCGGCGGGGGAAGTGGTCGAGTTGTCCCTCAACTCAGTGGTCGGATTTACATCACCAAAGACCATGAAACTTAAAGGAATACTACGTGGACATGAGGTAATAGTTTTGATTGATAGTGGGGCTATACACAATTTCATTTTTGTTGAATTAGTGAGGAAATTGGAGTTGCCAATGGACCGAACATGTGATTATGGGGTGATTATGGGGACCGGATTGTCTGTTAAGGGCGAAGGAGTATGCAGGGGTGTCATGGTCACTTTGCAGGAAATAGAGGTCGTGGAGGATTTCTTGCCTCTTGAGTTAGGAAGTTCAGATATGATTCTGGGCATTCAGTGGTTGGAGACTCTTGGTGTAATGGCGGTGAATTGGAAGAATTTAACCATGAAATTCATGGTGGGAAACCGTCAAGTGTCTTTGAAAGGGGACCCCGGATTAAATAGGTCTTTAGTGTCTTTAAAGGCCTTACAGAGAGCGTTTAGTCAAGAGGGACAAGGGTTGTGGCTTGAATTGAACAACATGGAGTTGAGTACTCAGGTGCTTCACTATAGAGCTTCGGTGTTTGAGATGCCTGCAAAGTTGCCGCCGGAGCGTGCGAAGGACCATGCGATAGTACTCAAAGCGGGAACTTCCCCGATTAATGTACGACCTTATCGATATCCTCAGGTCCAGAAGGAAGAAATTGAGAATTTGGTCGGTGAAATGTTGCCGCGGGAATTATTCGGGGCTAGTGTGAGTCCATATCCAATCCCGTTCTTTTGGTTAAGAAAAAAGATGGAAACTGGTGTTTCTGTGTGGACTATCGGGCTTTAAACAAGGAAACAGTACCGGACCGTTTCCCTATTCCGATTATTGATGAACTTCTCGATGAGCTTCACGGGGCTGCAATTTTTTCCAAGATTGACCTTAAATCTAGATATCACCAGATTCGAGTCAAACCGGAGGACGTGCCATATACTGCTATTCGCACACATAAGGGCCATTACGAGTTTTTGGTGATGCTGTTTAGGCTTACAAATGCTCCTGTAACTTTTCAGTCACTCATGAATGAGGTATTGCAAGCATTCCTCCGTAAGTTTGTCTTAGTTTTCTTCGATGACATACTTGTTTACAGTCGGTCCTTGGAGGAACATGTTCACCACTTAGATCAAGTGTTAGTAGTTTTACAACAGCACCATCTTTTCGCAAATGCGAAGAAGTGTAGTTTTGGACAACAATCTTTGAAGTATTTGGGACACATTGTCTCGGGCAAAGGCGTGTCAGCGGATCCGGCCAAGATAGACGCAATGCTAAATTGGCCTACCCCAACCATGGTGCGTGACTTGCGGGGATTTTTGGGATTGACAGGGTATTACCGGAAGTTTGTCGCAGGGTACAGCCACATCGCAGGGCCTTTAACGAATTTACTTCGAAAGGATGGGTTCCAGTGGGCTGCGGAACCGATCATGCTTTTTCTTGTTTGAAACGCACTATGACCTCTGTGCCGGTTTTAGCTCTCCCTAATTTCACAAAACCATTTGTGCTCGAAACTGATGCTTCGGGGTTTGGCGTGGGTGCAGTGCTGATGCAGAACTAGCAACCCATTGCATACTTTAGTCAAGCTTTGTCTTCGCGGGCTCAAGGTAAATCGGTTTATGAGAGGGAATTGATGGCCATTGTTTTGGCAATACAAAAGTGGCGGCCATATTTGCTTGGCCGACATTTTGTGATTCGCACTGACCAGCGTAGTCTTAAGTATTTGCTGGAACAACGCCTTGTGAGTGTGGAGCACCAAAAGTGGCTTACTAAGTTGATGGGGTATGATTTTGAGATTCAATACAAACCTGGGCAAGAAAATCGCGCCGCGGATGCTCTTTCTCGTATTGTCTACTCGCCGGGGATGAGTGCCTTGCTGGTCTCTTCCATTGTCAACACGCAAGAGCTACAGCACCAGGTGTTGCAAAATGAGAAACTCGGCCAGATTATTTCAGCATTATAGCTCCAGTCCGAGGCCTATCCTGGATTTTCCTTAGTGCAGGGACGGTTGTTGTATGATGGCAAAACGGTAGTGCCTAGGGGTTCGCCTCTCATTCCTAAACTGCTTCACTCTTACCATGACGGGGTTCTAGGAGGCCATTCAGGTGTCCTTAAGACTTACCGACGCTTGGCAGCATATTGGTTTTGGTCGGGGATGAAGAAGGGATGTGACCTCGTATGTGGCCGCATGTGACGTTTGCCAGCGTTGCAAAGCCTCCACATTAGCACCTAGTGGCCTGTTACAGCCTTTACCCATATTTCAATGGATTTTATTGAGGGGTTGCCATGTTCGGAGGGATTCGACACTATTTTGATGGTTGTCAATAGGCTTAGCAAATATGATCACTTCATTGCCTTGAAGCATCCTTTCTCGGCTGAAACAGTAGCTAAGTGTTTCATACGTGAGGTTGTTCGCCTCCATGGTGTTCCACGTACAATCATGACTGGCCGTGACTGTATATTTCTCAGTCATTTTTGTACGGAACTTCACAACCAGATGGAAACTACCCTCGCACGCAGTACTGCTTACCACCCACAATCTGATGGTCAAACAGAAGTGGTTAATCAGTGTGTTGAAACCTATTGATAAGAACAGAATATAGAATTCAACTAGAAAGAATTGAAAGAACGAATATGATCTTTATTGACTAACAGAAATGTAATACAAGAACAGTTCTTCGAGATACTGCCCAATCTCCCCTGCTCAACAAGACTCCAGTAATTTCCTGCCTCTCTGATTGTCCCCCTTATTCCCTATTTATACACACTACCTTATACAACTCTCAGCATTCCCACTACTAACCACTAACCCAGCCCAGTCACCAATTACTCCCTCTTACCTTTCCGAACATACACCTGCTTAAGCAAAGCAAAGGCTTATCGGGCTTATCAATTACTCCGCCCCCCAAAAGAGTCACCTTGTCCTCAAGGTGAAATTCAGGAAACTGCTGCTGGACGACATCGAAAAGCTCCCAAGAAGACTCAAAATCCGGCAAGTGACGCCACTGCAACAAGACTTCCAACTGCCCAATCACCGGAGAGAAACGAGTAGCCAACAACCTCTCCGGTTCCACGCGTAACTCCATGTCCGCAGTTAAAATGAGTGGAACCTCCTGGGCTGGAACAGCAAGCCCAATGGCTTTCTTAAGCTGTGAAACATGGAAGACCGGGTGAATTTTGGCAGCCACGGGCAGTTGCAACCGA